GATAGATTCTTACACTCATGCATCTATAGACGAAGGGCATCCACATACCAAGAATTCATTTTCATTACTATTGTTAAGAACTTATAGAATTATAAACTACTTGAAAGCTGAAAAAACAATGTCAAATTTACCATAAAATTATACAAGGGGGTGTCCCCCCAAAAACCTGAAAAAAGTTGCTCTAGGTGGAGCTTTTGTAGTATGAATTCCTACACCCCCACCCCCACCCTAAGGTGACTATCGAGCAACTCGCTCTGAGTTAGTGCACCCAGTGCCCAGTGGCCTTACCTGGAAAGGTTTTCTCTGGTTACAGTGAATTTTTTTTTTACAAAAGCAGTTTTGCTTGAACCTCACTTTTTGTGATGGCCATTTTAAGAGAACAGCTTGTAGCTGTGAACTTTTGTTTCCTGCCTGGGAAAAATGCCGCAGAAACTGTTGTGATGTTGAACACAGCTTTACAAGGACAGCACTATGGGAAAACTGAAATGTACAAGTGGTTTTCTCATTTCCAAAAAGGTAAAATGTCTATTGATGACAAACTTCATTCTGGATGTACGTCAACTTCCCTAACAGGTGGACATGTCGACTCGTAGTGCATTTGGAGTTCATTCCACCAGGTCAGATTGTTAATCAAACGTCCTATTTAGAGGTTCTGAAAAGATATTGTAAGAGTATGTGACAAAAAGGGCTGCTTTATGGCAGAAAAGGGACTGGTTTTGTCACCTCAACAATGTACCTGCTCACATAGCTATCTCAGTGAGCCAGTTTTTGACAAAAAAAAAAGCATGCCTCTCTTGCCCCATGCACCTGACTCATCTGACCTTGCTCTGTATGAATTCTTTTTATTTCCTTGAATGAAGAGGGACATGAAAGACAGTGATTTGACGATATGGAAGAGGTAAAGAAAAAACGAGGGAGGTGCTGTCAGCCTTCCAAACAGATGAATTTGAAAAATGTTTCTAAGAACGGAATCACAGATTTGACAAATGCATTAAGTGTAATGGAGAGTACTTTGAAGGTGATAAGGTTGTTTTATAAAAATAAATAAATACATAGCTTTGAAAAAAACTCATTTTTGGGCGGGGGGAATACACCCTCATTTGTAAGAGTTTGTTACATATTCTGGATACAAGTCCTTTATCAGATATACGATTGAAAATAGTTCCTCACAGTATTTTCATTTGTCTTTGATAAATTATAAATTATTATTATTTTCACATCTTATACTGTCTGTTGTCTCCCTTCGCCCATGTTTATGTTGTTCGTCACCCTGGGGATGGGGACGTGTTATATGTTGAGCATTGCGATTGGTTCCCCTGAGAAATGAAATCTCTACAGGTATTATCATATGGATGAGCACTGACAACATTACACTAAGTGAAAGCAAACTCACAGCCATCAAGTCACTACTGACTCACAGGGACCCTAAGGACAAGGTAGAACTTCCTGTGTGGGTTTCTGAGACTGCAACTTCTTACAGGAGCAGAAAGCCCTGTCTTTCTCCTGAGAGGCAGCTGGTGGTTTCAAACTGCTGACCTTGTGGATCCCAGCCTAACATGTAACCACTATGCTTCCAGGGCAACTCCATTAAATAAGCTAGACACAAAAGGTCATATGTTTTATGAATCTTTTTATATGAAATATAGAGAACAGATAAATCTATAGAGACAAAATGCAGATTGATGGTAGCCAGGCACAGGGGACATAGCGAACCGGAAAGACTGCCTGAGAAGTACAGGTTTCATTTTGAAGTGATGGAAAGAATTTGAAACTAGATAGGAGTGGAGAGTGCACCATATTGTGAATGTGCTAAATGCCACCCAATTGTGAACTTGAAAATGGTTAATTTTATCTACATGAATTTTACCACAATACATTTTTAAAAAGATATACAAATGTCCAATTATCATATGAATAAATTCTCATCATTAGTTATTAAGGAAATGCAAATCAAAACCACAATGAGACACCACTTGGAAATGCTATGATCAAAAAGCTGCAATACAAGTGTGGGTGAAGATGTGGAGAAATTGGAAGCCACATATGTTGCTGGTAGGAATATAAACTG